CATAATGAACATGATGAGGGTTGTAGTTATACGTAACTATGTTGGTTACGTTTTTTTTTTTTTTTAATGAATGATGGTCTGTGTTTTAAGGGATGAAAAATGTAAAGCTTCTATACGATAAGATTTCTTATATTGGAAAAGATAAATATGTGATAAATGGACAGACAGCTTACTTAAAATCATGTATTGAATATTTTGTTTTATGTAGCAATGTTAATGTTCCAAGCCAAGTAAACTATAAGTGAATATTAACCAGTTTGAATTCACGATTTCAAAACACTTCAAACGAAACACTCTCCGTGATCAATCCCCATTAGTAGGTCAGTCAAGATCACAACTATCTCACGAAAAATGATTAAAAAAAAGTGTTATACTTTAGGCGATGCTGTGATTAATGGAAATGATCTTAGCTTCTGTGTCAATTTTTTAAAACATCTTTCGTTTGTAGTCAAATATCCACGTAATGGAAAAAAAATCATGGCATAATATGTTAAGATTCCATTGATAACTCAAAGGATAAACTGACAAGAGATAACCTTTTGTGTCTTAAAAAGTATATTTTTAGACAATAACATACACAAATATTTTAATGCAGGAATATTCTAATAAATTAGCTAAGTTGGAATATAACCAATTTCTACATCATTTAAGAGACAGATTAATAAAAGCAATTTAGGAGACAGATTAATAAAAGCAATGTGTGCTTGTTTCTGAATCCTATTTAGTTCATGTATCAGAATTGTATACTATGTATTGATTTAACTGAATAAAATATTGTTTAAACTAACCCATTTCTATAATATTGATGACTTATTTCTAATTTCTAAGAATATCACCCAATATTTCTATGAAATATTTCAATAAATTTACTTCTGCACACCGATGATCTTGTCTCACTATCAGAGGCAAAACAAGACTAACACAATAAAATAAATAAGCTAGAATTCTGTTGTGAACATTTTTGTGAAGAAGTAAATCTTAAAAAAGACAAAGTTTACAATGTTAAATACATCTGGCAGTATAAATCATAGATGCACAGCTCTATATGAAAAGACACAAACACCCAAAATACACAACTTTCTAAATAGTGTTACTTTAAATGAATCTGGCGGCTTATGGACACCAGATATGGTTTATATAAGATAGGTTTAAAGGGGCATTAGCTGTCAAATTGATGATCACCGATTTTAATCAAACTCTCATATTTTATTTATATCATACTAAAACGTACATCCAAATTACGAAAAGCAAAAAGAAAACAATCAGCAAAGCATGCTATAATTAGTCAACAATTGGAGTATATTATAAACAAGATGATTAACCAACGAGATGATCTCCGTAGACATGGTAGAATGCCAAAAGTATATGTCCCGATATAAACATTAATATAAATATAAATGATTCTTATATGATTGATATATTAGGATATACGCTTATGTGATTGCCAATTCAATGACACAAATATACAATTTACGTGTGATAGGGGAAACGAGTGGGGAAAATAAATTCCTTATCTCCAATTTAAAATAATTACAAGGAGTAAACGCCTTTTTATTTTAGATGGGTGTCTTAATTAAAATCTATAGATTTTTTTAATAATTTGTCAAAATGTAGTTTATATTATTCTTTTTTCCAAAATATGACAAAAAGTATGGGTCACCGGGCTATTTTTTTACGCTACAGGTTGTGCAAAATTGTCAGATTTTGTATAAACTATGAATGGAAAACCCAATTTTGTGTTATTAAAAAAAATAACTACACCATAGAATGTTAAGATAAAATATGAGAAGATAACTCTAATAATATGCTTATAAGAAAGAGAAAAAATGGGGTCACCGGACTCGTTTTCTTGCCACATATTAAAATAGGTAAATTCACAACACAATCTATCTATAATTTATAAAAATTATTTTATCTGATTGATCTCCCCTTATGTGAAAAAGTTGAAAAAAGTTAATCAAACAAAAATATTCTGTTTTTTTTTTTTAAATACAGCTGGAAAATACATAATTTTCTATATTAACTTGAACAGTCTTACACATGGTTTATATACTACACACGAAATTTGCCCATTTCCTTTGAGATCAAGACCGATTGTTATCTGCTATTTCAAAATCTAAGACGGAGGAAGACATCCCAGCTACCTTAAAGGAATTTATTGGTGCATCAACTGGACCAAGTCACTTTCAAACATATCAAAAGGCGTTTAATCCTATAATTGACAGACAAGCACGTGGAAACGTATGATAACGACTTTTCTAGGTCTATCTGATCTTATGTCATAGATTATAAAAGAGCATTGTTTTTTTTTCCTGTATTTGATTATTTTCTGTTGTTGGTCGAATCAGTCGACAACATGGATCGTTCGATGGCTCGCTTGTTTTACTAAAGACATTATTTTCATTTAACAACTAAGCATGCTTATCACATGCGTAAACGATCGCTAGTTGAGGGTTATATGGAATGCAGCATCAATATGAGTTCAAATGAATCATTGATTTGTGTGTCTTAATCGTAGATCATGCTCATGTGACATATTTAATGAACAAACTATTCATCTTTTTCCTTTTAATTAAAATTCTCCACTCAAACGCAGATTTTCTTTATCTGGATATTTATAAGGCTCCGGATAATTGGGTGGCTTTCATTCACTGAAGCTAAACTAACACACAAAACTGATATATATCTGTAGACATAGCAGAGATTTAATAGAAAAAAATAAGTACTTTCAAAATATCTGCAAAAGAAATAAGCACTTAAAAATATGGCCGTATTTTGGAGAATTAGATCTTTACCCCCTACATGTAATGGTAGGTATTTGAACAAACAGGATAAAATATTTTAAACAATATGCTATCACAAATTGCACCCTATCTCTCGTACGTGTGACATACATATAGATGTGGTGCATTTCTGTTAAGGTTTGTCTGGTGTTAGAAATTATCTTGTTGACAAAATGTTTAACATAGATAATACAATTCAACAAGTGAATACACATTTCTTTTTATTTGCATAATGTTCCTAGAAGACAAGGACAATGCTATATTGGCAATGATTTGTCAAATATTGGTCGTGTAAAATGAAAGCAACAATAAAATCGACATTTTATTATTATGTTATGCTGCTTTGAGTTATAGAGAGATAAACAACCATATATTCACTATAAATAAAAATGCAAACAAATCATACATAGAGGTGGGGTGTTCAGTAGATCTGCATGTCGACTGAAGGGGCCAGAGTAATAAACAGTTGGTAATAAGATACATCGCGCTAGCACGACAGGATATGGTTGTTTTATCCCGTGGTCAGTCAGTCCGTCCGTATGTTAATTCGTCCTGTTTTTATAATGCCGATAATAGCTTTCAAGACATTCTTCAAGTAGATTGTAACACTTTTATGAAGATAACATGGCATTCAGATTAAGAATATGGCTAATCCTGATAGGTCGATCTGTGCAGCCGGTATTTTTTAACTTAGTAGACACTTTCTGCACTCTGCATTATACCAAAGGCAAAATAATGTATTTTCCTTAGCCCTAACGGAACTGAGAAGTCTGTTCTACGCTGTGGTAAGACACATGTTTTGAGTGCAAAATTGATAGGCAAGAGTGATAAATACGAATTACGTTAATAAAAGCAACCGGAACCTATTTTTTTAACTAAACAATACTGTCCTAATTATTATTATTTTAGTCTAGCAAGATTTCGTTCAAAAAGACAACTTTCTTATGTCTGTATCTCGAAAAGGGCTACTATTGTCGTCTATGGAAAAAGTAATTGTTTGTGTCAATCTATACAGCGTCGATATGTCTTAATCATTAAGCTCAAAAAGTGTCAAAAACAGTAATTTTATTTGATATTTGATGTGAAACTGTATTTGTTGGTGTCAAATACATAATTGATCATCGAGTGTTTACGCTATAGCCTTTTTCATATATGTATTGCGTTTTACATTAGAAACAAGGGTGGGTTAGAACTTCGACTTTCTGTAGAGAGAATATGTCATTTTCTGAAATTCTACATATTTGTTTGGAAAAAGCATGCACACATCTAGAGTTTGGATATACAAATCGGTGTTTAAACAGGACGATCTCGACCTAAGTGTTTTTATTGAAATTTCAGAATTCAGTGAAAATTGACAGAATAACCCCTTTATAACATTAAAATATTCAGTGACACTTGAATTTAAAACTTGACAAATTAGAATAGGCACACAACTCAGAGTATGACTAATCCTTATTGGTCAATGTGTGCAGCAGATATTTTCTATTACTAGATACTTCGTGTACTCTGCATCATACAAACAGGCATAATTATAAATTTTCTTTAGCCTGAACGGAACTAAGAAGTATGTTCTACGCTGTGATGAGACACGTGTTTTTGAGTGCAAAATTGATAGGCAAAGTAGATAAGCACACATTACGTTAACAAAAGCAACGGGAACCTATACATTTTTAATGACTAAAATGCTGTCCTTATAATTTTTCTTTAACTCTAGCAAGGTCTCGTTCAAAAAATCAATTTTCTATATATATGTATAGTCTGTGTCTCGAAAAAGGCTATTCTTGTCGCCTATCGGGAAATAAATTGTTTTTTGCAATTTATAGCAACAGTTTTCTTTAGGACGACCATACCGCGCCGCCATTTCTTTTAAATTAATTCGATAAATCTTGTCTTAAATCAGATTTAAAATGTTCGCACATGACCTAACAAACGTGATATATGTGATGAATGTATTGTGGAAAAGTTAATCAACATATGTATTACTGTATATGCAATACACACTTTGCAAATGAATTTTTACTTCAAAAATGCTTTTAGCGAAATATATTTTTCTTTGCAAACTTTCTGAAGTTGATGATTTCCGAAAGGGACATTTCCTTTCTTTGCAATTGATTTCAGCTTATTCGATTACATAAATATGCATATGTAATTATAGATTTTGTTAATTATATTTTCTAGTAGGAGCTGGTTCCGCTGGTAGTGTTGTTGCAACTCGATTATCGGAGGATTGTGAAACTTCAGTTCTTTTGATAGAAGCTGGATCATCTGATTTGGAACCTGATGACGTAACTCAAATACCATTTTTGTGGTATTCCCTTATAGGTTCAGAGAAAGATTGGGGATATCGTTCAGTACCACAAAAATATTCACATTTTGCTTACAAGAATGAGGTATGTATAATTGTTTGATATAATTTGTGTATAAATTAATATGATTAAGATGAAAATTTGGAGGGGTCAGCATGTAAAAAATTTTACAGGATGTTGTGACCAACTTTATGCAATATAATAAAAAAAATCTATGGTTTAAAGGGGTAACCTGGGGTATGGGTGACAACCCTTACACATGTATTTGAAGTCATTTGTTTTTTTAGTGTAAACAATATAATTGTATTATGAATTATACAAATTACAATATACATTCACATTCACAAATAGGACTCAGAAACAAGCAACAAGTGCTTATGATAATCTGTGTCCTTGTTAAATTGGATACAATATACACAATAAATCAAAACTCCATGCTCTGCTGCATAATACAAGGAACTGAAAAAGAAAAGGAAAATATAACTAACAATTTGGGGTGTTTTTCAACCTTGCAGTTATTGAAACAGTAATCAAACATTTATGTTGTTTACATTTGGTAATGAGAATGATACAGGGGCATCTAAGAAAAATTAACAAGTTTGATTCCAACACGCATTACATTATTGAATTCATCTTTTTAAAGAATAAAAAAATCAAAAGCAAAAAAGGTAGAAGACTGAGGAGTTTTTGAAATGACTTCTGACATTATTGAGATAAATCGTTACGCAGGTAGGTTAATGTACTTTTTAAAAAAACTGGCACTGAATATCGGTGTTTGCATCGAAATCTAAATCTGACGTCATTTACCAAACTACGCGGAATCTGATTGGCTAGATCGTTCCATCAACGTCAAGGTTGGGCTTGCACATCACGTCATACTTAAGCTTCGTGATCATCAGCTGATCGGGCACCTTGTCATGAGTGTCTTATCACGTAAACACACGTTTCAAAGATGGATATTGCTATTATTTTGAGGTAAGTTTGTTTCAAATTATCATATTCTTTTACTGCCAAAGGCCGTATTATATTTCATTTCATTGATACATCTAGATCGAAATGTACCTTTCTTTAAAAAGGGGTGTTAATTTTCACATTTGGCGTTTTTCTGGCTATTTAAAAAACGGCAATGACGAAAGGCAGTGTTTATAGAAAGTATAATTTTAGGCAAGTAAAAATTACTTTACTAGTGTTAAAATAATGTGGGTGCTTATGAAAAAGTGCTGTCAGACTGACATGCCATGGTCATATTAGATCATATTATTATGGAGGAAAACACTTCCATATATTTTGAGCATAAATCTTCAAATTACTCTTTAAGCATCATGATTATGTCCCATTTTCTCTTAGGTATTTGATTTGTATAATCATTTACATATTACAAATACAAAGAAGGGGGTCAAAGAAAGAAAAAGAGAGCATAGTAAAAAATGTGCATTTTTTAACTGCATCATGGCACAGTGTGTGCAGTCATGCCAATAGCTTGTCTAAATTTAGTAAATTATCATTATAAGTAGGAATTTGATATATAATTATTTAGTATGATGTGACCATTTTTCAAACACAATATTAATTTCATTCATGTTTTAAAATCTCATATTAACATTTTATTTCATCACTTTTTGTGTTCATACATAGAGCATTTGATTTATTGATTTATTGCACTTTAAAAAGATGATATAAACATATTATTATTATATTGATTAACTATCAAAATTGACATGAGTTCTGTCTGTTGTAACTATGATGTCTAGTACAGATTAGGAGGACACTTTTGTTTATCAAAAGACACTTTTCAACTATTTAGAGTGTTATGGGCTTGAAAATTTCCAGTTATGATTGTAAAGTTATCTTCTTCTTTTGTAGAAAGATTATCACTACACATTAGAATGAAATTTCTAATACCCAGAGAAAACATAGTTTCCACAATGCCAAACAAGAGGTCTCCAAAATGTACGCATTGATATTATTATATTGTTTTGTGTGTACATAACTGCCTCCCTCAGTTTCATTCAGTCAGTGCAGATGAAGTAATATGAATAAGCATATTGGTTAATCAGTAATTATGTCTCAGAAAGTATCATTTTTAGTATTATGTAGTTTAAACTATATAATATATATTGTTATTCTAAAGAAACTTTTTGGAAATGTATTTTTAACTAAAAGGTTACATCCAAGTTAACTGTTATGCTATTTTATAGGAAGATAGAATTAAACTTACTATTTTGTATCAGATCATATATGAGGGTCTGGATGGGGGTCCTTCATTTCTGTATTCTTTAATTTCTTAGGTCATTTCTCTCTAATCTTTATACATTTTGCCCATTATTCTCTATTCTTTATATTTTAGCACCTCATTATTCTCTATTCTTATTATAAATTTTTTGGTCCATTATTCTCTATTATGTAAACTCCACACCCTCATATATCAAGTATATTTTATCCAAATATTGTTAACAATTCTATTTTCAGCACTTTGGTGACTTGTAAGCAATGGTATTATACCACACAATGAGAGAAAAAGACTGCACTTCCTTTAATTTAAAAATGCAGCAAAAGGAAATTGTGTATCATATAAAAACTACAGAGATGATTCTGGATCTATGCATAAAAAGAGAAATGATAGAAAATATATATGTGAGAATTAGTTTTTGATATATATCAAAGAAGACTGATTACTGAGCTGCGTATAAGATAATTAATGACATGTTACATGTGAATTAAAGGAAAATTGAGGAATAATGCAATTTTCAGTATGACAACAAATGAATATCAATAAGTTGTACAATAGTGTTTCTGGAACATAGAAGACAGAGAAATAAAAATATTATCAGAGGAAAATACTGTGTACTTGTTTCTTGTGGGGATTTGCATACAAAAGGAAATTGTCAGATAAAACATGTTATAATATTGTGATGATTTAAAATCTGTGAGAAATGAAATGTTTATGACTATTTATGACATGTATTACTAAGATGTCAAAACAGACTGATAGCTTTAAATAACAATGTGTAAAGCTGATTTGTGGCATACAAAAAAGTGAATTTAAAATTAACCAGTTGAAAAACATTGAAGGCAAACAATGTTTAGTATTACAACAAATGGATATCAAACAAGGAACCAACAACTAATTTGATTCTGGAACATGTAAGACAGAGACATTTCAAAGGTTTGAATGTGATTTGGATTTATTGAATGAAAAAAAATAGTGTAGCAGGATTTGATATTTTCATAATAAAGTGTGGGGCATTATTTAGATCAGAAATATATGAAGATTCATCAGACATCTTTATAAAACATTTAAATAGACATTTACTATTTTACCATTTATTTATACTTTATTATGAATTGAAAAATCAAAAGCTTTATTACAAATCATTGTATAGACATTATTTATTTACCCTTGTCTGGCAAGATACATAAACATCATAATACAATGAGTATTATGAAACATGCAAGTTTTTAGTGAAAGTACACATTTATGTACATGTATATAAAGATAAATAAATGTTTTAGAAATTCTCTTTAATATTGTATGCTATTAGTTTTCTTTTATCATCCTTCTTAAATTTTTGGGCTAACTACTAATACTTGATGTACTTTTTTTATTTAGTGTTAGAATTTAAGTAAGTTTTAAACTTGGACAAATGGATTCAGCAGTTAAAGAAATAATTCTTTTAATATTTTCTGGGCTTTACCACTGTCTCTTATTCAGCAGTTACAGGGGATAATGAATGGTACATATTTCTCACAGCAGATTTGATTTCTTGAGGTCAACTTACACATTTTAAGAGAGAAATATCATGTATTATATGACTAATAATGTCTCTGATTTTAATAAACCCTTCATTTGCAGAATGACTGGGTTTTTACAGAGACATATATACACATATGTCTCTGGTTTTTACAAGGAAATTCATTCATAATGTGCACAATATTTATTATTATTGTTTTAAATTTTAAGACTTCACCAGGAAATTGATAATTGAGGACCCTTGAAATAGCTTCTTTTTTTAAGTCAGTAAGAAAGGAATTGATCAACACTTTTTACATAAAGACTTTAATACTTTTTGACATTTTAAACTATAAAACACATCAGAATGGTCTCTCAACAGTATGACACAAATTTAAAACTATGCATAACCCATACAAATCCTTTAAATTGTATATTCAAAAAAGAATGCTCACATTGTGTGTGAAATATTGAAGAACACCCACCCCCTTTTTTTCAAAACGTACTTATTTAAGGGCATGGTATTTTTTAATAATTAACGAATGTTATTGATTGCCATATATGCGTGATTTTCTAAATATGCGTGCATTATATAATCAGAAACAACAGCGCAAGAATGTTTTTATCTTTCATCTATGAAATTCCAGTAAACGCAACTTTGGAATGTTTTACCTCGATTACCTCCCTTCCGCGATCAGTAAAGCGTTTATGCAATGGGCGTCATTTCAGACGGTATATGCGGACAACAAACAAACGAGTAGAACAACTTACCAACGGCAATATTATTTCAAATCCTTTGAGTTGTTTATAGAAGAAATAGTCAGCTTATTGAAAATTGCTGAACGCTTGTATAAATTTTTGGTTAAATTGAAAATAGAGGTATTTTTTATAATAAAATTCATAACAACGGACGTGAATTCCTGGTTTTAATGTTGTTAAAATAAAGGGAAACATTTATCAGTGAGCGATCAGCAGTTTTTATGGAGTAAAAGGTATCTTTTACCATACAGTGAAATTTCATGGCGACATTTTTAGTATGGGAACTTGTTCTACAGGCTAAATCATATGGGAAATTAGTCATATCGTAAAATCACGTGATGACTTAGACACCACGTGTGACAGCAGAAAATATTTTCTTGGTAGACGTATCACCAATGTGTACCACATAAACAAATCTGGAATCAGTTATTTTTCTTTCAAAATAAAAAATAAATAAAAAAGGGGGGATGCCTAGACAATTAATAAAATCCGGCATTAACCTACCTGCGTAACAGATTTGGAAACAAATTGAATTGAAAACAAGTGGATCGTTGAACAATGCAGTTATAAGGTTTTGGTGCTAAGCTATTGGTTGATATAATGTACTTACCTGCATGATCATCTTAACGGATTTAATGACAACGACACATGTGCAGTCTTCTGATTTTTCGTTGCACTATTAAAATTCAGAACAGTTTGTTTATATTTGGCCCTGTACTGTTAAATTTTCAGATATTTTAGATTTCAATGACAACTTGCAATATCATGTGAATATTGCTATATTTCCAAATGTAACCGTAAAAACTGTAAAACCTGTGATATACTAATATCTGATACCTTTTTTCAAAGTAACTTGACCACCAAAAGTTACAATACACATAGTCATGAGAATTTAAATTGTACTGCTTCCAATATTGTGTACGGTATTGCATGTGCTCTTTGTGGACTGATCTATGCCGGGGAAACTCGACAAAGATTCAGTTTTAGAATGAATTACCGTCGGTCTAATAGTAATGACCCTAATAACAACACATTTCTCTATAACATTTTTAATCAACCTGACCATTCTATTGTTTCAATGAAAGTCCGGATTATAGAGAAAATGTATCCTTCAACAAATGAGATCATATTGAGAACACCATATCGGTTACAAAGAGAAGACTTTTGGATTAGAGAGTTGGGAACAGCCATACCCTATGGATGCAATGACAAAATTGATGGTGTAGATATTTTGTCTAGTCCCAGGTGTAGTACTGTCAATACATTACAATTATTTAACACTTCTGCTCAACAATATAGAAGTCATGGTCACAGAAATTATACACAACCTGCTGCCCACACCGTGACAATTGATAGTCTGTTGTCGTCTGTTCAAAAACCTTAAGAATTCACCATATCAGAACTAAATCATACTCCATTCCATTATCTAAACTTTATTTACTATTTCAAGAGGCCAAAAATACTTCCGTCATTGATTCTAATTCTGTTTTGTATAGATTAGTTGCAATAATCATGGACATTGCTAACCATATACCATTCAAACCCGTATCAACTACTTCCAAAAATGAGAAAAACGTATTTTATTAAAGTAGAATTCGCCAATATAGGTTTAGATGCTATCAATATTAGCAATACTTTCCACCAGAAATCTATACAAAAAACTATACCTGATTACTTCAAAAATAAAGCTACACCTGTAATTTTATATACTTACACCAAGCCTATTGCATCCAAGATTAATAATCACAAGAGGGTTTTAGAAGCCTTTAACCTCCAAGATGTGAAATCAAAACATCGGATTGCTCATATGCATCGTCAATATACAATTATAGTCAAACTGGTCATGTTATTACTGGCGACCTTGGCATCGTAACCAATGAACAAATAAGAGAGTTGTTAGCCAAAATATAGAATTCCCCAGTCTTTCAACTGGAAAAAGGACTTCAGGTTACTGATGGATGTAGTTGAAGACTATATGTCAGAAAATGAGTAAAGCGCGAGCCAGATGAACCAGAACTGGACACTTTGTCTGAATGAATTAAAGCTATTCGATCATACATAATAAACAGCATAACTGTTAATCCTACATATTCTTTAACATCATTTACAAAGGATGAACGTTAACAAAATCACAAATATGTTCTTTTTTTTTTGTTTGGTATTAACATCAAAGAAAACGAAGAAAATATACTGTCATTATACTGGATACCAAAACTTCACAAAACTCCTCATAAAGAACGATACATAGCTGGATCATCAAGATGTTCAACTAAACATCTTTCTAAAGTGCTGACTACTATGCTTTCTTCAGTAAAAGATGGCCTTCAAAAATATTGTGATGAATTATATTCAACCAGTGGTGTCAATCAGATGTGGATTCTTAAAAATTCTAAAGATCTTTTGCTAAATCTTAGATCACAATCTCTACAATTTTGCAGCAACATTAAAACTTTTGACTTTTCTACTCTTTACAGTACTATTCCCCATGCTTAATTGAAAGGTCGACTTCACAATCTCAACAGAGTTTTATTTTTTAAAAATGGGAATCGTAGATATAAATTTCTTGTTTTGGGTTACAATAATTCTTATTTTGTGAAGAACCACACTGATCAAATGCATGCTGATTCTATCAGAAAATATACTGAAGATGATATAATGAAAATGCTGGACTTTTTGATCGACAATATATTTATGAGTTTGGAGGATTGATATCTCAACAGACAGTCGGTATTCCAATAGATACTAATTGTGCACATTTACTGGTCGATTTGTTTTTGTACTCGTATGAAGCAGAATTCATTCAGAACCTTCTAAAAGACAAACAGAAAAAGCACCTTTCGAAATTCTTTAATTTTACTTTCAGATATTTTGATGATGTCCTATCACTGAATAACCCATATTTCAGTCAGTACTTACATCTCATATATCCCAGTGAACTTGAAATTAAGGATACCACTGATACTAGAAGAATTGCTTCTACCTTCATCTTTTCCTCAATATTGACACAGATAGACGATTTCACACTAAAACCTATGACAAACGGGACGATTTCAACTTTGCAATGGTCAATTTCCCATTTCTCAGCAGTAACATACCCTCTGCTCCATCGCATCGTGTTTACATATCTCAGTTATACGATATGCTCGTGCATGTTCACATTATATGGACTTCATATACAGGAGTGTGCTCCTTACGCAGAAACTGCTCCAGGACCTACAGAGTTATGTGGAGGAAAGATTAAAAATGACACTCCGTAAATGTTATGAACACCATCACGAATTGGTTGATCTATACGATGTTTCTATGCCTAAACTAACTAACGACATCTTTTACCACGTCTTAGATTGTGGTTTACCATCTACGTCGCCTGGTTTGGTAAGTACCGAACGTGACCTTTTCCCGAATATGACCGTTTTGTCGAGTGTGAATTCGCATTGGTATTAGATGTGTCTCGGTATTTATACATCCAACATTCATGTATTTAGTTATGATGTTTCTTTTGTAAGTCTTGTTAGATATTGTGTTATGTCTTATCGTTTGTGGTTTTAATTCTATTTTTATTTTCTATATGTATGTAAAAGTTAGGATAATTAATCAGCTAGGTTATTTATATGGTTTTTAGTTTAAAGCAACTATATGCACATGAATTATTTGTCTTTACACAGTTTTGATTTAGAAGAAAAACCGACATGGTTAGATAATACAAATAATTACACAATTACTAACACAATTCTATATTAATGATCTTGTAATGGTTAGAAAATACATAATAACACCATTACACACTTAATCACAATTTTATATTCCAGTTTTAGAAATTTACCAGTAACGTCACTTTTTGTGGCGTTAATACATTCGTGCGACTCACAGTTCATAGTTCTAGTGTGGTGTACTGGTGTACTGTCGTAAATTAATGGGAGGTGTCCGTTGTATTTTGTGGTTTTTATGTTGTAATATACTATTATCTTATCTATTTATATATTTCACTGTCCTGAGTGTTCTTGCATTTATTTGTACTGTATTCCTGTCACGTAATGTTGTCATTTTAGCGAAATTTTTAACATTGCCATATAAGCGGGAGGTTTGGCTAGCCATGAAACCAGGTTCAACCCACCATTTTTTTCTTAAAATGACCTGTAACAAGTCAGGAATATAGCAGTTGTTATCAAATAGTCCGTTTCTATGTATGTTGGAGTTTGTTTTTTGTAGCAGTTCAGTGTTTCTGTTGTTCTGTTGTTTTCCTCTTATAGTTGATGTGTTTCCCTCGGTGTTGGTTTGTGACCCGGATTGTTTTCGCTTAGCCGATTTATGACTATTGAACAGCGTTATACTACTGTTGGCTTTATTTATGGTTACCAATGCATATCCCTTTAAACATGTTAAACGGAAAAATAAGCAAATCGACAAAGAATAAAACGCAATAATTCCCAACAGTGCAGCAGACATTAATATCCTAAACGACAAGTCTTCAAAGTCAAGCATACGGTGTTGAAGAGAAAGTCGAATACTACATGTACAAGTTCCGCTTTGTAAATATTATTTCTATTAGTGAATGAAAAAACGATAATTAATTAATTAATTAACAAATTGTATAGAATAAATTCACTTATGTATGTTCAACGTGTCATAGCCAAAATCCGGTCTTCTTTCAATCTATTTTGACGTCAGAATTAATTGCGACTAGGTATGCATTTTTTAATTGAAATTAGCAACACGACGAATTTATATATAGATATGGTCCCTTATCGGAGCAGGTGTATTTTTATCTTCGGTTTTTGGTGTTTTTCATGCGACCGACCCTTTATGTTTATTTGCAGTGTTTTGTCAACTGTTGTCATGTTTAGACATGTTCGTGTATGTTTTGGCGCAAATACAAAGTTTCAATCCTGGTATCTATTATAAGTTTATTCATTAGTTTGTATTTCCTTCTTTCAAAATACACATATTTGAGACAAAACATGTGAAATAAGTAAACATGTTTTCACTGATCTACAATACATAAATTTCCATTTTTATTTTTATGTTTTATTTCCTTGTTCGGTGTCATTTTTGTTTGTTTGTGTTTTTCATCTCATCGTTTATTGTTTTACAGGCACTATATAGCACAATAAATTTCCGCGAAAGAAATTTAAGAAAATGTCTGTACCATCCCAGGAATATGACAGTTGTTTTCCATTCGTTTGATGTGTTTGAGCTTTTGATTTTGTCAATTGTCAAGGGGCTTTTCCGTTTTGAATTTTACTTGCAGTTCGGTATTTTTGTTGTTTTACTTTTTAAAGGCCGCTCTTCTTGTTCCTAACATTGAAATCATCTGGAAATCAATCGTATTTGGAGAAATGTCGACATACATTAATCGAAGAGTAAATGAGACGCAAATACAAATGTAACGTTAATAACCGGTCATTTATACCATGTTTGTGATAGGCACATATGCTTATCCAACAATAATCTCTAACAGACTGTCAAATTATTGGCATATACAACAATACTTAATGTTTTAACAGGAAGTCTCTCTATTAAAATAGATAAGTTACATACCTCAAGGCAAAGTACTTGGAGGATCCTCGTCAATAAATGGACAAAACATTGTGAGAGGCAGTCGTAACAACTATGATCAATGGAAACAAGAAGGAGCAGTCGGATGGGGATATGATGATGTGCTGCCCTACTTCAAAAAGCTTGAAAATGCTACACAAACATCATACAGAGACTCAAGTGGGTTATACCTATCGAGTTATGAGAACAATCTTATTGTGTTATATTTAACGCCAGAACATATTCAAAGTCACTTAAAAGAAAACATACAATTAATAGGAAAACCGTTGAAAAACACATTTTTTTCTACATTGCTGTATGCATATAAGGACAGTGCACACACAGAACCTAATCGGATTGATATCTTTTTATAACTATCCAAACTCTTAATAGATGAGATATTTCAATATTTTCTGTTTTAAAGTTAATGATCAAGTAAACTAGAACAGGAAACTTATGATGTCATTTAAATTGTCATGACGTACACAAAAACAATTACATGAATTACAAGCGTTTTGTAAGTTTTTAAGAATTTTGGTAAACTTAGGAAAGGCTGTATCGATCGCATACAACAACATTTTTCCAAAAAATATTGTTTATAGAGTTTATCTGTTTTAACAACAATCACCATTTACAGATTTTCTTTGTTCTATTTATACTTTTTAAAAATGTTGCCACTTTTTGGTGGAGGTCGTGTTGCGCAGTCTTTAGTTTTCTATGTTGTGTTTTGTGGACAGTTGTTTGTCTTTTTGTCTTTGTCTTGCCATGGCGTTTTCAGTTTGTTTTGGATTATGAGATTGAATGTCCCTTTGGTATATCTTTCACTTCTCTTTTAAACGTTCTTGAAATTAGTGTTTAACAATTCTACTCAACTTCGTAATAGTTTTGTCCTCTCATTTGTTTTGATTAGAGTGCAAAAGACGGTATAACATACTTAATTATGAGTCTGGTACCTTGATGGCCTTTTTTAAAGGAATCTTTGTCTCATAAGGTATGACCAGCTATCAGAAATGCAATATCATAGTTGTGGTTTTTTTCCGTCAATCAAATGTTCATAGAAAGTAAAACATCACTGACACACTTAGGTTGACTACCCTAAATAAACAGGCCGTAGCCATATTAGGCACAATCTTTTTGAATTTTTAGATAGTGCTTTTCAAATTCGAAATATTTTTCATAATTTGATTGGAGGTGGAAGAACGTCTGACGTAAGAAGCTACAACCTTGTTATCTTTGGCGAATTTTTAAATTATGCATATCGCTTGCATGGTTTAATCAATCAAAACATATTTGCACTAATTTGAACATTCTGGACATTAGGATTTTTGTCTCGCCGGAGACGGCGACGGCTGAGGCGTTGGCGTAAACAATTGTAAAATTTTCTGCTGAAGTTAGTTTGATAGGAACTACAGTTACTTGTGATAATTCATTGATATTTAACATAAAGTTGCATTACTATCAGTACAAATTAGTGTGACGACTATTTTGAGGCCTTGCCACCTAGGTCATGGTTCAGCAACTTTGAATTAACTAGCAATTTTCGATGTAAAGTTTTCGGCTTAAGTTAGTTTGATAGGAACTACTTATGATAGATCATTGATATTTAATATGCAGTTGCATAACTACCAGTTCACTTCATTTTGTCGACCATTTCGAGGCCCTGCCCACAAGATCATGATACAGGTACTTTGAATTAATAGGCAATGTCGCTGTCCATCAGATTGTCTTTTTTCAGCATTTTATGCCGAAAGGCAAGACATATCTCTGTGTCAACAGTCTTTTTTTTAATCATCTACAGAAAATTGAGTTTCAATAATATATATAAGTTCAAATGTTTTATAGCTTTACGAGGACTTCATGGACCTATAGTAATAAAAGAGACTACTGGGAGTATTTTACAGTCATTTCACCATACAGCGGCAATGGACATTGGTTTTTCTACAGTAGATTGTAATAGCGACAATCCGATAGGTAGATTAGTATTAAGTATTCAGGGCGATCATATAAAAACTGTAACTTAAACAGTAAGTTACCTACATTCGAATCTAGTTAATCTTTAAAGAATATACACTTCTAAAAAACACCTGAATAAATAGCTGAACTCAAAGCAGAGTGAAAGTGGTTGTGTCAACAGGGTTAGTGCCTCCTGCTATGTATGCGTTATTCGCCATGCAGCAACACATTTAACAGTCCATTACTGTAATAGAGATGTGTTAAGGTCCATCGCATCATGTAGCATTGATATGCGGATAACAATCATAATACTATTTGTAAATATGATATCTTAGGAATTGCATGAATGTGTTCATTACGGTTAATCTGATATTTTAACGGTAAGATTACGGTAAAAACACTTGTAGATATCAAATTATCACAAATTTGAAACATGACGAATCAACATGCAGAATTAGTAGAAACTTAGGTTTTGTTTGCCCAGTGTGGACGACACGTAACTTTGGAAGCTATACATGTATGCAATGAGTACAATTTTGAAATTTATACATTTTTGTATTGTGTGATTTAGGGGTTGTCAATGAACGTCTAGTTCTTTATTTCTTAAAGAGTTAAAAGGTACCAAGACTTACAGATATATATTTAGTATAAATTTCACAACTAATACAGGAATTTCTTGAGTTAAACATTCTAGGTTCTGACGTTGAGTATCAATTAACATGTTTGATGTACTTTGCAGTTTTCCCTTTATTTGTTTTTGTACTTTTATGTTCTTTTTGGTTTAGAATAACCGTGGAACTAGGTTTTATTTAATTTTTTTTTGGGGGGGATACATTTTTTCAAGACCATAATGTTTGGAACTTACTAAATAATTCGAAGTAGTCTTTTAAGAACAGCGATTACAGTCATAGGTCAACATCTGATGAATTAACTGCTCGGTAAAGGTAGCCTAAGCCGATTTGGCACATATTTTGGATTTGATCTGCATTGCTCTTTAACATCGTGTTTGCTTTTCGCGAGGGTATTAGTAGCCAAATAGTCAGCACTTTGTTATTGTAAGATAATTTCAGTTACAATTATTGAAAGGAATAATCAGATCACGGATTTCCTTATTTACTTGAACGATGCGTCAATACTGATATCAAAATGTCCAAAATATGGACACAATAAAAAAGTTGTAATGCTGAAATACCTTTCATGTTTTACCTTGTAGTGACTATTACCATGTATTACATCGGTAGTACTTGTGGCAATTCCTAAAGACCAACACAAATACAAAAAATGTGATTTATATCAGCTCGGATTATCTGTTAAACTAAAAAAAACCAAAAAAACAGCACATACATAATGACATTTTTTCAAATAATGAAAATTCTAAGAGAAATATAATATCTTGCATTAAGATGTTTTTTGGTTTCTGTTTTATTCAACCTTTCCTATATATTGGTATATATTGTCTTTAACTAACACTTATGTTATATTTATCAGGAAATAGTTACATATATACTATTACATTTCATATTTTCTTTTGTTTACTATTAAAAATCTATAACGGAAGAAAAAAAAAATAGTTTTACTGAATGCAATGTATTTTACATCAAATAGGTTTCTGTAAAAGTCAGACAAATGTCAAAGACGGGAAACGTTGCAGTACATCAGCCTGTTACCTTCGGCCAGTTTTAGAAAGACGTAACTTGCAAGTCAGTTTGCGGTCTCATGTCACTAAGGTACATATGTTTTATTATGTTTCACTTTACATTTTCAATGATCATGTTAAATTTTAAATATACAAATATAAACGAAATTTAGATGTGGAAAGTAACAAAGAAGAAACAATAGTTATATTGAAAATAAAGCTATATAGCACATTATTATTTTTTTTTTATTCTAGTCAGAGTATGAAATAAACAGTCATGCCGGTCTGTGAATGGATTGAATTGACATCATATTGCTTTGATTAACTGTTAACCGATTACAAATTAGCTGAAAAATAATTTAGATTACGACTTAAACTGTTTCAAAACGGAGATAACTCATGTTTCCCTTATTGCTCTGTGAATATTGTGTACTAGAACTCTTGATAACTTTTTCATAGGAAAAACGTAGGCTTCATTAAAAAAAAAACAGTCGCATGGAAACGCTATCAGGTAAAAAATTAAGGAAAACGTTTTTTTTTAATTTTGTTCCTGACCTTTTAAGCTATGTTTAAGCAAGTAACCCTGCATAGTTACTCCTGAAAGTAAGATGTCCATGTAGCCATAGTGACTTATTTACACAATTAGAGATGTGATTATTGTTTCAGGCAAAAACATACAAAATTTTCAACGATTTTTAATCGCAAAGCATAACCAAGTGATACATTATAGGTTTACATTGAATATCACTCTATTAATCACTTTGATACGTAATCCGTAGCGCACATATGTGTCCGTTGTCTACACAAGTATTAAAACGACTGTGGCCGGGAAAGCATGACAACCCGCGGTTTCAACATTAATGAGGTTACTTTGAATTTGACGCCTAGCGATAACAAAAAAGGTTAATATTTGTCTACTATGAACATAATTACTGGTAAATTTTACCCAAACAAAAACAAAAACACTAAATAAAACTGACTTATATTAAATGGGAAGGTTTAACCAGCCATTAACTTAAGCCCATACGATACAGCTACAGGGGAGGTAATGACGTCGCTAAAGTAAAATGTTGTATTTCGCGACGTCAAACTGTGACATATTGGGAACGAGATGCATTTTTTATTGATTTTAATCATTAGCTGGAAAACGAGTACTAGGACCCCTTTTTTTATGAAGATAATTAGTACCATTTAAAACAAAAAAATAACCAATGAATTTCCTTAAAATTAAATAAATATATAGCAAAAAATGCTGGTTTTTTTCTAAAATCTTGAAAATTTAATATTTTTTTTTTTAACTTTAGCACAAATTTATAAGTATAGATATGTAAGAAGATATTCAAAATGTTTTCATAAAATTCCGCTCATGGTTATCGTTTGAGCAAAAAAAGTAGGTATATTTGTCCATAGGATAGAAATGTCCAAGAAACTGAAATATGGAGTAAACTTCATACATTTCGACCCCATTTATATCTAAAAGTAGCACACGAAGGTATATTTTAGCACATGTTTAAATTGACTAGGTGAAAAGTACATTTGTGACTTGTATGCACATTTTTACAAACAAATCATCGTTGGATCAAAGCTGTGCCCTTAACCATGTATTTTCATTTAAAATGTCTATTAATCATAAATATTCAAATTTAATTTCAAAACCCAGCGGGCAACTTTTCTGCTTGATAATAATAAATGCTAAAATAACATAACAAAAATACCGAACTCCAAGGCAAATTACAAAAAGAGGAATTTTATAAAATCTGACAAAATCAAACACTATCAATCAACGGAACAAGTGAAAAAAACAACTGCCATATTCATGACTTGGTACAGCCATTGACTGAACAAAAAATAGTGGGATGAAAACATATCTGTATTCTATATTGTATAGGTTTTAATAAGGAGTAGCAAAGCTGTTGGTGTTGAATTTGTTAAAGATGGCAAGAGACGACGGATATTTGCAAAACATGAAGTAATTCTTTCAGCTGGAGTCATAGGTTCTGCTCAGATTTTAATGCTCTCAGGAATCGGTCCTCGCAAACATCTTCAACAAATGAAGGTAACGTAATTAATTATTTTCACGTTATACATTTAGGTTTCCGTATCAGGTATAAAATACTGTTATGTCAAAATGACAACCGTTCTGTAGCTGCCAATACATATATTGATTACAAAACAAAGATGTCTTTACAAGTTTCATGAACAAGTTGATTTTTTATAATGATTTTGCAGTTTTACAAATTTGTTAGTTTAATGGCTTGAAAAACAATTCTTAGTTGAAAACGATTAACTGAAGTGAATAAATACTTATTTATATACGTAAACTAATTCAGTTAAAAAAAGACATTAACAATGAATCCTTCTGATGTTTTCCCAACATTCATCCGTTTCACTCCAAATTTAGTTGAATTCAAACAAGACTTAATCGAGGTAAGCAGCTAAACTGCTTACTTATGTTCAGATAACATTTCACTTTAAGTTAGTATGCACATATATATTGCTGTCTACATGAGTTCTGATTATTTGTATCGTGTTCGTGTAGTATCATTGATGCCTTCTCTACACATTCATTGAATTTTAGCTAGTTGGTTATGATTTTTATTATATTCTTATTATATTCACTGTTCCGAAAAAAAATTGGCAAAGAGTATTTGAGTAACATAAGACACGTTCTTATTCAAACAAAAAGTGAAAAGAATTGAAATGTTCCATATATCAAAACTAGTTATAAAAGTAATATTGAGCTATAAAAAGTGGTATAAAGTACTGCATATACATATATTGGCGATAGTAGTTTATCGATTTGAAAATTTCATAAATCGATTAAAAATACAGATCAAGACGCACACCACCTGTTTTGGTCCTCATACCTATCAACGTTAAATTTTTCACTACACAATATGTTCTGCAAGCGGGATCAATATACCTGTATTTATACATCAGACCGTACTGCCCTGGTTACCGGAATTTTGGATACATCAAACCAGTCACTTTATATCTGAAAAACAGACTAGATATGCCCTCCATTTAGAGAATTCATTCATACATTTTTGTATTATTCAAAATTATTAGTAAATTGTGTGTTCTGCAAGGATCACCAGTCCGTTACCTTTCATCTGATACCTTAATTACTAAAATATATGCTACATAGATTTACCCTTTATGCAAAGGAACTATTTTCTTTTAAATATGTACTACTTTCCAGTATGTTCTTTTTTAACCGGGCTCGATTAGGTGGTGTTACATCTTACAAAGTTTATCCAAATTATTTTTGCAAACAATTCCGCTCAAGGCGGTGTTAGGGGCCGTCTTACATTTACAGTGAGGTAAGAGTTTATTTGCTCCGTGTTGAAGGCCTCACTCTGACTTTGAGATGAAGAACAGCAATAAAAGCGATTTTCTTTTGCTTTTTGTGTGTGTTTTTTTTTTTTTTGCTGTTCATGAACTGATTTTGTGTCATGAATGAATACCCCATATCCTTTGTTTTTCTATCAATGTAACGAACAAAGCCGAGGGCATTCACTTCAAATAAGGAGAAAGCCGCAAGCGTCGATATGATGGAAGTGTCGCCTGCTATGCATGAGGATATGTAATAATGTAAGCAACGATTTTATCAAAAACAGTGGGTTTGGTGTCTTGCTCAGAATATATCTAATATGTGATATATCTTCTTTTATAGATACCATTAAAAGTTGATCTGCCTGTTGGACAGAATTTGTATGATCACTTGACATTCCTTGTTCAATATAATATTACTGCACCGTTAAATACTAATAATAAAAATGCGGCTGAACCAGATAGAATTCTAGACTATATTTTCAACAGAGAAGGTAAGTAGTGCAACTTAACATTCAATGAATCTTTTGGTTCAAATGTCTCATAATTACGTTTTGTTCGTATAGTTATAGATGCCACGTAAAATGTACTCTACGATTATCTTAACAAATCACGTCTATTCAAAGTAGACGTAAGAATCTATAAAGTGTTAAAACAAAACAAAAAAAAACGATATTTGATACGCGCGTTTTGTGTACACGTGACTCTTGACTGTGCTCAATTAACAAAGTTTCAATGGGCCAAATTCAAAAGAAAACATTGTATACCTTAGAGATTGTTGCCATTCACCTAATTATGATGACACAAAATGCGCTATGTAAAATTTGTAAAAACAAACAAGAATGTTTTACTTAACATACTTAATTACGGATATCATTGAATCCGAAAAATTACCTGACAACGCATAGCAAAAAAAAAAAATTAAAAAGACAAAATCTAAGAAATCAGCAATTTATAAATTTGTTATTATTGATTAATTTGTATTTACAGGAATTTATTCAAGAAACGAAGCCGAAGGGGTAATTCTACAAAATGTCAACCCACTAGATACAAGAGGTCCACAAATTGAACTGCTGTTGACTAACCTTGCTTATGAAGAGGGTTTTGTTTTAGACCCAAACCTTGCATTTAAAAAAGAGGTATAAAAAAATCCGTTTCAGTTTAAATTTAGTATCTTTGCTAATATTTTTTCTTGAGCATTATCTGCTTTCACATACAATAATTTTTCTCCCTCTTATCTTTATACTGAGGAGAGAAATGGTAGAATACACAATCGATACATATAATGACAGTCTAAACTATGGAACCTCATGAGAGGTTTTTGCTCTCTGTTGAAGGCTTCACTGTGACTTCGAGATAAATAAACAGCATTAAAACCGTTTTTCCTCTGATTTTGTGTGTGTTTTTTGCTGTGCGTGTACTGATTTTGTGTCATGGATGGATACCCAATATCCATTGTTTTTTTTATAATGGAAGTTTTGCCATGGCGTGTCCATTTTTACTCTGACTCATAAGTTTTGGTATTATTCGCATCTTTTGTCCCATGTTTTTAACTTATTTCAAGTCTCATTAGGGGATTTTAGTTGGTTGCAACTGCATACAATGTTTGGGTATTATAAGTTTGAAACCGAATTATATTTGGTAAACTGTAACGTTATCAGAATGATGTTGTTCCATACTATATGAAAATCACCTCTGGAGTGGCAGTTTAGTGCTGGAGACTTAACTTTAACTTTAAACCGATCCTACATTTTAGACAAATCTGACATTTCTAGTATTAAGTATATAAGGTAAATGTTAGATATGTCTTCGATATCAGTGATTATTTGTGAACGACATATTTTAACCAGGACATGGTTATTACTATGCTGATGTAATCTCAAATAGAAAACAGTGCAAATCATGTTAAACCTATACTGTATATTTACAGTAAACTAACAATTTTGCTATGAATATAAAATACTTATTACAAAGTGGTGATAAAATAAGTCAATTACGGGATTCATTGCGCTTTAGAGAGCAACTGATGTGATTAACTAGATATATTTCTTGTTTGTTGAAACCATAATTACTTAAATATACTATATTTTTTAATAAGTACCATTTTAAGTCTTTATAATCAATAAATTTATAGAAATTGTTTTGATCACTGTAGGGGTGTTTCAACATAGCTTTGTCATGTGTATACGAAGAAAGTATACTAACATACATTTTGTAATTGGTGATTGGATTTTTTTTTAATTTGATTGCGTTAAGAAAGATTTTGGATAGGCACATGCCGTAACTTATAACACATTTAATAGTTGTTTTTTTTTTAAACACATGCTGTATATTTCTAATACTTATATTACATTTCAGATTGTAAAAGAGCATTTAAAACGTATTGATCCAAATAGTTTCATAGTAGTTATGTTTTTATTGCAACCAAGAAGTAAAGGTCATTTGCGGCTTTCGAGCAAATCGCCGTTTACTTATCCTTTAATAGATCCACGATATCTTTCTCACCCAGAGGATATTGAAGACTTTGTTAGAGGTACAATTAATGATATAAAACTAATGTTTGAGTTCAAGTATCTTTCTAAGCTTTTCGTGAACTGCAATATAATACTAACGTAGCTTCCATGTTCACGTAAGGCAGATGATATTTTTTCTGTGTTTGAACAAATCAGTTTTACAAATTGATAGTAAATGTAAAAAATGGTTTTCTGCAGTGCCTGCGGCAATTTACGCAGTTTTATTAGCGAAATATGCAAATACATTTTGTAATAGATTTGAGCAAAGGACTTGGCGTATATATATATATTTTAATGAAAAAATCTTATAATGAGGATATGTTTGCATTTTTTTTTTAATTTTGAACTAAACTCAAAAGTGCGAAGCCCTTAGACAACTCTGCACAATAAAATTGAATAATAAAATTATTGGTATCTGACAAACAAGTCTTCTTTTATTATCTCATCTAAGGGTCTAACACATTTTCTTTACTTAACCTTATCCTTTGTTTAGAAACTAATTCAATGTGGGTGCCTTGCTCTTTGTGCTATTCTAGATGAAACTTTAAAAACATTTTTTTTTGCTTTTATATTTGGATCCCGCACGAAATTCCTAGATATTTTATTCAGTTATAATGCAATAAATGCATTCTTTGAACCTATTTGTGTGAACTTATTTACATCAGAGTTCCTTTTCTTTTTGTTCATTGTTATATCAGGAATACTAAAATACAAGAAAAAAGCAACGACACAAAAACAATAGCACAAATATAGCGACCGAAACACAAAAAAAAAAAAAAAAAAAAAGAATGAATCTTACTTAACAGCTATAAATAAAACTGATTTAACAAAATACAAATACTAAGAAAAACACATATAGTTTAAGATGTAATAAAGTTTTTATTTCTTTAATAACATCTAAAATTTCCATTAGAACATGCTATTAAATGAGAATGAAATAGATCAATTGGCAACACTAATCATGATATTGCAGCAAATCAATACTCTTATCGGAATAAGAAATTCCCATAAACAAATAAAAAAATACACTGAATGATGCACACATACAATGGCACATCTATTTGAAAGGACAGTGTCCCGTCTGAGAATATTAATCAGAATATTTTGTCGAAATGTTTTTAGTAATTTTTAATATTTCATAATTTTGTTTACTTGTGTGATAAGGTTGTCAAAAATACTAACGTGTTGTATACTGTTCTGCTTTAAGTGCAAGTTTGGCCAGGGTTTCGTTTTCGACGTCATCTACTCTCAGAATACGCTCATGGCCATTGTTTTGTCCTAATAATTGAGTGCTTGCATGTCATTGTCTATGGATTCTCAGCATTTTGATTCCTCCTTGTAAAATAGTCTTTGTTTGACACTCTTAATTGTTAACTCACAATCATTAGAGGAAATGCTCAAAATAATCTTGGATTTTCAAATTTTTTTTTAAAGTCTGACTCGTATAGTTTCAGAACGTACAACATTAAGTGAAAACTGAAAATTGGATACAATTGTTTTCGAAACCCACTTAACATTTTATCTTTTACTTGGTACATGTATATTTATGAGACAACTACAAAAATTATTGTATAAATATGAATAAAAGACATTATCTGCGTAAAATATATAACATTTGTATCATTTGTATCAATATGTTCAGTAAGACAGGAGATAATTAGGAGATACATCGTAATTATGTTTATTCAAATGTTGTCGAATTGTCGAATGGTATTTATTTTTCTTTTGTTGTTCCCGAAAAAACAACAATTGTCTTCCTAATAAAAATGTACTTCATTCCTTTTGTCCAAAAAAGAGGTACTATGACCAATATTTTGTTTTAAATTTCTCTTTCCAAAATATGTATAACACCCAACATATCCAAATAAGCATATTTTCAAAATTAAAAACTAAGTGAAATGTAAGAAAAACAATATATTGATACTACAATCCCAATATAAATAGGTAATTTTATAAAAAAAATATATCAATCGTAATGGTACTGAAAAAGTCTGAATATAATTTCAGGCATTCGATTGATGCGTTCGTTAGAAAAAACTGAAGCATGGAAATCTATCAATGCCACTTTGGTAAGGCAAGATGTACTCGGACATTGTAGTGAAGAAATCTATGATTCTGATAATTACTGGAGGTGTATTGGACGACATTTCCTAAGAACTGGATATCACTTTATAGGTACATGTAGGATGGGATCAGTTGATGACCCGTCAGTTGTAGTAGATTCAAGATTGAGGTATGGCGATAATATATGAGGTATTTCATTTCACAAAAAAATGTTGCTCTCATACTTTTAGATTGTTACGTCTGCCTTTTTAATATTGCTGTTCATAACATTTTGATATTTGAAAAAAACAAAACTTCAAATACTGCACCAAAATGGTCTTCTTTTGAAATATTGTCATATATTTATATAAATAAGTCAATGCATTACCCAAACATCAGTTTGTTATAAGATGTCATAGACAAAGATATAAAGGTTTTACCCTATCATTCCGGATAACACATTTAGTCATATAAGATTTTATAAAAACAAAATTGTGTGAAATGGTAATTTTACGTCACATATAACAATTTGATAAAGCACAATATCACAAACAAAATTATAACTACCATTTATATTCCTAAATGTTCAGATTAAATCATCCTATTTATAAAGGATTGGATATTTCACTATTTTAGAAATTGCAAGAGGATAACAAAAGTTCAGATAATTCCTCCTCTTTACATTCTTCTGGTTTAATGAATTATTTAGAGATGCAAAAATAATTAATATAAAGGATTCGAAGTATACAATATTCGTGTAAAAAATTCGCAAGGGATTCCGAGGAACCCTGTGTCTCGCCTGCGATTGCTGCTGTTAAAGTGTAATGTTGACTTAAAAAGTGAGTCCATTTATCAAAATACAGAATTTAAAAAAAAATCAATCTTTTTCTTTAGATGCTATTTCTTGGTCTTTAAGGTTAGCTTCTGTCCAGTTTCATAAAAATCGACGAAGGTTTACAAATTGATCATGTCAAAACAATTCAATCCCAGGGTGTCCGTAAATGTTAACAAAAACGTGGTCCGTCTATCTGAAAAATACTAAAAATGAAAACAAATATACTTGAAGTGTAACAAACTTTAACCCCTAGGCTGTATCTACTTGTTAACTATATAAAAAAAACTAAGTCCATCTATCAGTGAAATTCGGAAAAACGAAATTAAATGTTTTCTAAATTTTACTCTGGATATATTCGTTTGCTCATAAACAAGCTTCTGTCCAAATTTCATAAAATTACATGAAGGTTTGACAAAAAAAAATGTTGATGACTGAAACACTTTATCCTCGGACTAAACCTGAGAGTAAACTGTACAAAAAAATTAAGTCCATTAATTAGTAAAACACGGAAAAATGAAAATAAATATTTTCAAAATTGTGCTCTGGATACTATATTTTTGAGATGCTCAAGCTTCTGTCCAAATTTCATAAAATTCCATGTAGGGTTAATGTTGACGCTGCCGACGCCGACGACTGAATCTAGGATCGCTATGTCTCGCTTTCACGAAATAAGTTCGCAGGCTCGACAAAAAAAAACGTTATAAAATTCATGCGTCCGAAACGCTTTTCTGGATTTACCTTCATCAGGAACGCTCAAAGCAGAATATTTGAAATCCAATGATGTATAAGAACCTAAACAGTTGAAACTCGCTGCTTTAGTTATGTTGTCAATCCATTCATTAGTATACAACTTATCACACAATTGCATTACAGGGTTATTGGTATCGATAAACTAAGAGTGGTTGATGCATCCGTTATGAGATATCTTCCTTCAGGTCATACAAACGCAGCAGCTATGATGATTGGAGAGAAAGCTGCAGGCATGATCAAACGAGATAAAACTCCTAGATATAAAATCTAGACCTATGATGACTAATTCAAACATTTTATCGATTGATTTGTGGAAATCATTTGCTGACTTGATAAAAAGATGCTTTAATTGAATAGAATTGGGCAATTTTAATTGAAGATATTTTTTCTGAACTTTCCATATGTGAAGGTGATCTTGTGTATACAATAAATTTAACTATAAAAATTATATGTGTTTTCTTGATGGCGGACAGATTTTTATATCACAAGTATAAATAATGTCTTCATGTTAAGTAGATGTGTATTGTTGTCAGGATTGTTTTCTTCAACATGATGAAACCATTGGAATCATCAAAATTGTCCATAGCACTTTTCATGCATCACAAAAAAGCGTTAGAAAATATTGCATACTATAAAGTGTTTTTCGTTTTTGTTTCCTTCCTTGCTTTCTTTGTAATAGATAAGTTCTATTTTATACTTCATTCAGTCTTCAAAAAAAGCTTTTACTGAATTATGCATGTACATTCACATTTGTCTGCATCACACAGTAGTCAAGTCGCTTCCAGTACACCCGTTATACCAAGTATAGTTAATTTCCCAAACAATCCGACCAAGTATTGTGAACTCCCAAAACAATCCTACCAAGTATGGTCAACTTCACAAACAATCCTACCAAGTATGGTCAACTTCACAAACAATCCTACCAAGTATAGTCTTCACAGACAATCATACCAAGTATAGTGAACTTCAAATACAATCCTACCAAGTATGGTCAACTTCACAAACAATCCTACTAAGTATAGTCTTCACAGACAATCATACCAAGTATAGTGAACTTCAAATACAATCCTACCAAGCATGGTCAACTTCACAAACAATCCTACTAAGTATAGTCTTCACAGACAATCATACCAAGTATAGTGAACTTAAAATACAATCCTACCAAGCATGGTCAACTTCACAAACCATCCTAAAAAATATAGTGAACTTCACAAACAATCCTACCAAGTATAGTAAACTTCATAAACAATCCGACAAAGTATGGTCAACTTCACAAATAATCCTAACAAGTATGGTCAAATTTACAAACAATCCTACCAAGTAAAGTGAACTTCACAAACAATCCTACCAAGTATGATCAACCTCACAAGCAATCCTACCAAGTATAGTGAACTTCATAAAAAATCCTACCAAGTATGGTCAACTTCAAAAACAATCCTACCAAGTATGATCAACTTCACAAACCATCCTACCAAGTATGGTCAAATTCACAAACAATGCTACCAAGTATGGTCAACTTCACAAACAATCCTATCAAGTATGGTCAACTTCACAAACAATCCTACCAAGTATGGTCAGCTTCACAAACAATCCTACTAAGTATAATCAACTTCACAAACAATCCTACCTAGTATAGTCTTCACAAACAATCCTACCTAGTATGGTCAACTTCACAAACAATCCTACCAAGTATGGTCAACTTCACAAACAATCCTACTTAGTATGGTCAACTTCACAAACAATCCAAACAAGTATGGTCAACTTCACAAATAATCCTAACAAGTATGGTCAAATTTACAAACAATCCTACCAAGTAAAGTGAACTTCACAAACAATCCTACCAAGTATGCTCAACTTCACAAACAATCCTACCTAGTAAAGTCTTCACAAACAATCCTACCTAGTATGGTCAACTTCACAAACACTCCTACCAAGTATGGTCAACTTCACAAACAATTCTACCAAGTATGGTCAACTTCTCAAACATTCCTACCAAGTATGGTCAAATTCACAAACAATCCTACCAAGTATAGTGAACTTCAGAAACAATCCTACCAAGTATAGTCAACTTCACAAACGATCCTACCAAGTATGGTCAACTTTACAAACAATCCTACCAAGTATGGTCAACTTCACAAACAATCCTACCAAGTATGGTCAACTTCATAAACAATCCTACCAAGTATAGTGAACTTCACAAATAATTCGACCAACTATGATCAACTTCACAAACAATCCTACCAAGTTTAGTCAACTTCACAAACGATCCTACCAAGTATGGTCAACTTTACAAACAATCCTACCAAGTATGGTCAACTTCATAAACAACCCTACCCAGTATGGTTAACTTCATAAACAATATTACCAAGTATGGTAAACTTCACAAACAATCCTACCAAGTATAGTGAACTTCACAATCAATCCTACAAAGTATGGTTAACTTCACGAACAATTCTACCAAGTATGATCAACGTCACAAACAATCCTACTAAGTATAGTCTTCACAAACAATCCTACCTAGTACGGTCAACTTAACAATCAATCTTACCAAGTATGGTCAACTTCGCAAACAATCTTACCTAGTACGGGCAACTTAACAATCAATCTTACCAAGTATGGTCAACTTCATAAACAATCCTACCAAGTATGGTCAACTTCACAAACAATCCTACCAAGTATGGTCAACTTCACAAACAATCCTACCAAGTATGGCAGGGGCGTAGCCCCTTTGTTAATGGAGTGGAATCACGAACCGAAGGGCGAGGGGTCTGGGGGCCGCCATAGGCCCCCCAGTGGCTCCAAGGCAAAGCCCTGGTTGGCCAGGGGGGCAAAGCCCCCTCCCTCCCTGACGCTCAGCATATATAGCGTTTTAAAACAGTTACAACCATATTAAAATTTGTACATTTTTGTTGTGTTTTTATTTGTCAATTATTTGATTAACTTCGAAATGTTCGAGTCGAATGAAGACTTTTAAAACATGTTTTTTTTTTGTGTTTCTTGTACGCCCTGAGAGCTTTTAAAATCACGGAGATTTGTTCCTTATATAAGTATTTGTATTGAGCGAAGTAGATATAAAAATAAGTAGATTTAAAAAAAAATCATAACCATCCCCCCCCCCCCCCCCCCTTTTAAGTTAAATGGTCGTTACCTAAGGTACCGTAAAACCTGAATGACTGTAGAGGGAGAGCATTTGTAGTGACAAAAAACGCTTGAACGTTTTAATATTATTTGCCATGATGTAAAGTTGACCATAGTATACCTTCATTTTGATCCGAGCTTTTTTAAGAGAATTATGGAACATTGACTATTTTTTTTTTTTTTTTTTTTTTTTGTATTGTGACAATAACACCTTGTGCGGGCAAATCCTATGAGGCTGTTTAACAGAAAGCTCTGATACTTGGTACTGCTGTTTCTCGTCATGATAAGTTACGCATACAGTACCGCCATACTGATTTGACCATTTTATTGGATTTATGGGCCTTTGACCATTTGATATAATAGTGTAACTAACTTTTATTAGTCCACGAGTATCTATCTGCAAAGTGGGAGAGTTGAGATAACAAAAAAAAAGTCAACTTCGTCAGATATTCCTGTGACTGTCACGATTCAGGAATCTCAGGTTGATCTCTTTGTCTCATTTTTTAAAGGATTTTGCTTTTTAAATAATGTATTGTTAACGGCAAATCCTTGGTTGTTTCTGTTTAATTAACATTCTAGCGGTGTTTTGGAGCTTAACATTTTATTTAGATATTGACATCTTTCATTTTTTTTAATGTATGTAATTATAGTTATTGTGTTGTTTGGTTGCTGTCACATTGACTTATGTCCCTCGCTCCTTTTATTTAAACAAAAAACAAATCCAGGAATATGGTTTGCATATGATAAGTTCAATTGCTGTATGATTTCAAACAGAAATATGAAAGAATCTCCTCATTAATATATATAAGGTTAATGGCAATCCTAGTCCTTATGAGTTCTTCAAAGTTTATAATGGATTTTGGATTTTCAAATATTTTGGCTTCGAACATCAATGCAGGTAAATAGATTGTCTAATTGCATCAGTTGCAGTAGATGTATCTTAAAGTTATCAAACCATCCATTGGGAGACACAAAAATAGACTATTTTAATATTACCGACTTTTGACTCCGGAGTTTATATTTTTTCGACAGGTTACCTTCTATATGGTAAGACATCCTGGTACTCGGTCAAGGAAGAGCTACTTAAAGAAGTAAAATCAAGCTTACATTCGGTACAATAAGCGGAAGAAATTAATTGTTTCATGTTTTTTATTCACGACAAAATCATCGGAAAACAGTAACCCCCTCCCCCCAATATTGCAGAGATTATACATATAACACTGTGCACTAAGTCAAGAAAAATTCAGTAGTGTTAATAAAACACAAAAGGGTCACTCAATCCTACAAGAATCATTAGGAAAAAATCACGTTGTGAATCTATAATGGTCACTTCCAATACATCATGATGTATAAGTGTGTCACATAGTCCAGTAAAATAAAAGTATGTTATTACTTGAAGAGAAATCAGACCTAAAAGATAGCTATTCAGTATTTACTTGACAGGATGGTTTCGAGTTAAAGATTTTAGGTGCTGACTCTGTAGAATTTTATCTACTTTACAGTTTGACCTTTATTTGTCTTTGTACCATTATGTTCCATTTGGTCGTATGACGTTTGGCGTTTTTCGGTATATGTGTATCCAGCTATTATGTTTTGACGTTCGTTATATAATGCGGCGGGGTCCAGAAATGCGAATCGGACAAATTTTTGTTATACCAATTACAAATATAAATTATTATATATTTAAAGAAAGATTTGATCGTGTTCGTGGATTTTTGCAATACCACATAAGCGGCAACAGATCTTTCATGATTCTTTTCAAGATCATCAAAATGCGGTAACCGATCTTTCACGATCCGTAAAAAAGATCAAGTTTTTACAAATATTTCCTTTTTGCAAAGTTTCTGGTTAAACTTAACATACTTAAACAAAATAACTGCACGAGCTATTTTAAACAGTAATATTGAACGGTATTTTTGAAAGAAAAGTAGTCTATGCATTAATTTTTTTTTTAAATCATGTTACATCTACCCTAGAACTCATTCGGACAATGTTATTTTCGAACTGAGCCTGAAAGTGCCACCCTAGAACTGTATCTG